ATTTTAATTGCAAGGTATTTCAATACCATATCAATGACTTAATTTAATAAACATAATTTCAGCATTGATTAATTTTGTCAGATAAAATTTTATGGCATATACTCCATATAATCAATTAGTTCCTTGACAATTTTCTATGAAGTGCAGTTCAGTAATTTTCATCATTTTTCCAATCTCATTTAATATTACTGTATGTGCAGCAGTTCTTTCGTGTGTAAACTTAACAAACATGATTTATCCATCAGGGCTTTTTTTGTGCATACACAAAAGATTTTCCATTTTGAGAGGTTTATTTTTAAACTATTATTTTTTCAACTCAAATTTTCCTAGATCAATTATTGCTAGCTCAAATTTTAGCAAGAAGTTTAGGCACCCCGGGATGGTTTTTTTTTGTTTTTTTTCTGGTTTGTTTGTTTTTGTTTTTGTTTCGGGTAGAGTGCAGTGGCGTCATCATAGCTCAAATTTGCAGCCTCAAATTCCTGGGTTCAAACAATCCACCTGCCTCAGGCTCCTGAATAGCTGGGACTACAGGCACGCACCAGGACCCCTGGTTAATTTTTCCAGTTTTAGTAGAGACTGGGGTTTCACTCTTGCTCAGGTGAACTGAGCTCAAGTGAATCTCCCGCCTCTACCTCCCAGAGTGCTAGGATTACAAGCGTGAGCCACCACACTGGGCCTTTTTTTAAGCGTGAAAGGAAGTTTATTGAGGAAGGACAAGATAAGATTACAGAGCAAGATCAAGATACATTAATAGGTTTACAGAGTAAGAGCAAGATAACGTTTACCACAGAACGACAAACGGACTCTCTGTCATAAAAAAGGGCCCCATACGTTTTTAAGATTACACATTTTGCCTTGTGCAATTTAAGTGGTTGTCAATTTTTAATGTGTTGATTGTTTCCGTCGCCAGGCGGTTAATAAAAAATGAGTGACTTTTCTAAATTACTCCATATACGTCATATATTTCAAGGCTTCACCTGTCCTGACTGGAATGTTAGTCCACTTCTTCAACATGCTTCCAATGAATTCTTTTAGCATATACCCACAACAGGATCAAACTGGTGAAGTCAAATGGTGAACTCTAAGTCAACATTTCCTGCCTCCGCCTTTTTCCTTTCTTCCATCCCTCAATTTCATAGCAGGCTGGGCTGAAAATGGATGTGGATCTTTAGCAACATTTTAAGTGGAAGAAATATGCCCTCCAAAATGCA